CTCTCTCCCTCTCTCTGACCCTCTCCCCCCCCCCAACACACACACACTCTCTCTCTCAAAAAAAAATAAAAAATGGTAGGGAAATTTGATGAGAAGTAAAACTCTCTATATAAAAAACATATATGACCAAATAATTCTCTTTTAAATCCTACAGAAAAACTACTAAAGCAAGTGAATGTAGAAATGATGCAGGACACAGGTAAGTATAGAAAAAGCTACTGTGTGCCTACATACCACCAACAAGCAACTGGAAACTGGAATTTAAAACACGATTTAAATTAAATTAATTTAAATTAAAACACCATTTACGATAGCACCTGGAAGTAGGCCATACATGGAGAAAACTTCAACAAAATGCGAGTAAGACCCACACACTGAAATGAAGGCTGCTGAGAACTGAAAGACCTGTGCAAGCGGAGGTGTGCCCCATGTTCACGGGTCCAAATACTTCACGGCATTAAGATGACAGTTCTCTCCAAATTGACCTACAGATTTCAAATGACAAGCTTTGAGTTATTCTAACACTAGAAAAGTACTCCAAATTAGCAGAAGTGCATGATCTATCAAAACGCTTGCCTACATGTTTAGTACCTGCTTTGGTTATCTGACTGGACCCGAGTCATCAGATTAGGTTAATCTTCCGTAGGTTCTATGTGTGTAAAATGTTAAGTTTTCCTTGGCTGGTACTCGACCCTGATGTGTACAGGGTATCCTGATTAGGTCACTGAGAGTGTGTGGCTATGCAAAGCAGTGCAGTGCAGGCCAGTCAGCAAGAGAAATCATACATCTACAGGTGGAAACATCAAAAATTGAACATTTAATAAGGAAAGAACTAAACCCATAATGGCTGAAACCAAACCATTTCTTCACAATTCAAACAGCCCTATAGGAAGTTTGTCACATTCCAAAGGCTACGAAATGATATGGTCCTGACTGAAAAGGTCAATGACCCAGAGCGGAAATGCTCTGAACACGGACCAGGACTGCTAGTGTCCAGGGCCAGAAGAGACCTCAGGAGGGGACTTCCCTCTATCCAGAAGCCACACAAGTCTCAAAATACAGCCTTTCCACAAATATCCACCAACACTTAAAACAAAAAGCCCTCTGGGAAATAAAACAGACTCAGCAGCCAGCACAGCAGAGAGAATTTAAATAACTTCTAGATCAATAATCAGCTTAGAGAAAAAGAAAGAAAATCATTTTCTTCCCTCATGTGTCCTACAGGACAGATCTCTTGGAAGGAAAAGCTTATCTTGAAAAGAAATCACTTGTATGTCTGAGTATTATAAAAAGGCCCCTGACTACTGGAATTGTTTTCAAACTGTATAAATACACTAAAGTTCTAAAAAAAAACCCCCAAAAAAACAACTTTTTAAGTTTTTAAAAATAAAAATCTGTTGTAGGGCAATTATATCTCAATAAAAACAAACTATGTGTACATAAAAAATAAAAATAAAAACGGATTGTGTTTACAAATAAGAGACCAGCATTTTTTTCATTAGTTAACGTGTTCCCTTAATGAAAACCAACCTGGAACACGTGGGTTTGAGCCGCTCTCTGACTCATCACACAGGCTGGCCCTGAAAGTCACCAGGGACACGCGGGGATTCCCCCGCTCCGGGCAGGCACCAGGCGGGCCCCGTCCTGCTGGCCCACTGGCGGTCACCAGCTAGGACAGCAGCTGCGCTAAGCAGCGTTCTACTCACTACAGTTTCTCCAAATGGCTCGGTGTCCAGTGCAAAAGCGGAATTTCTACGCTGATCTGTATGAATGCTCCCGTCTATACACCTGACCCCTGCGGCCCACATTCTGAAACGGAGGCCCAGCTCCTCACGGAACCCGTCAGCGGTCAGTCACTTCCAACGCCGACACCAACGTGAAAGCAGCTTTAGAGGAAGAGCCTCAAGTCTCTACACCTTCAATCACAAGCAAAATCTGAATGTATGGTGCACTTTCAAGGAAAAAAAGCACCTACCTGCAGCAACTCAAGTCCATTGTCCTTCTCCCCAAGTAGAACACGGTCATTGGACGAAACCTGTCCAAATATCCTCACAGACAGTTTTACTACAACGGTTAAGCTTTCGCATCAAAGCAAAAGGTTTTCTTTCATTTCTTTTCCTTGGACTTATTTAAAGAATCTCATTCAAAAAAATAAATAAATAAAGAATCTCATTCAGGCTTACAATCTGAAAATCTGGATCCTAAATGCCAGCTGGGGTTGGCAACACTCGGCTGCGTTCTGCCCCCCAGAGAGTAAAGAGAACAAATAAGTCTCAGAGCTCAGAGCACAGTCTAGATAAAGAACCAGTAGATGAGCGGATCTCAGAGCGCAGACGCAGATCAAGCTGTGCGCCGCGGCTTCGGGCTGGCTCTGGGCCCCGGGCAACCTCTCCGAACAGAAGGGCCGGTGGGGTTTCAGATGATGGCTTCTCACCCACCACCGAATTCCTCATTAACTAGAAAGACCTTTAAAGGGGCCTCCATATGGCTGGTTCCATTACACTCAGACTTCCCCATGAATCACCCACAATATGGGCCTAAAAAATCTTAATTATTTTTAAAAAACAGATGATTTCCAAATAAAGTAATTCAGAACTTTAATACTTCTAACTTACATTTTAAATATCTGAGGCCCAAAATAAATAATTGGTAAAAGCACTTTTGTTATTCAGAATGTTAACCAATTTTTAATTTGTTTTGGAGACTTTCCCTTTCCTGTGTCCACTCACTACCCTCATTTCATACATACAATTCTCATTGATTTTTGTGTTTGCAAACTTTCTAGTTAAAATATACACTTTTTTCACTGACATACTGGGATTAAATTCTTATCCCTTACTTCTCCCCAAAATTTCTTGTTAGCAGCTTTCAATTGTTGTCTTAATTTTTGAAAAATCATTCATATACATACAATTTAACGCCATGTCTAGGAGAAAACTGAAAAATGAAATTGACAATTAACACTAGCACGTGGCATGACCCAGGTCACCCCGAGGCTTCAGACCAGGGCAGCCTCTTCTCCCAATAACACACCCTGCTCCGGACACACAAGAAATCCCAGAACAAGCTGCTCACAAGGTCCAAACCACAGCTGCAACAGCACTCTTCAGACCTGGGCCTCACCCACCTGCCCCTGATGGGGCCATCTTGAGGCGTCAACCGTGGAATCTGCGAGGGCAGACTTTGTCAGCACTTTCCCTGATGCATCAAGATTACCTCTTCCAGACACAGGTAAAGAAGTCAGACACGGAGGAGAACCAGCCCAGCACAGACAGGCATTCTGTTCTCACACCTGGAAGCAGCCGTTCCCAATGAGTCTGAAATCCAGTGGGATACACTGAATCATCACTTACAGGACACCGCTGGCATTTAGCGGGCAAAGGCCAAGCAGCTTAGGCCATCCTTCGGCACGTGAGAACTCTCATCTAACGAAACACCTTCCGATGTCCCAAACACTCATTTAAGGAAAATACAGGGTTCTAACGGCTCTCTGACCCTAGCATCTTTCTCTACTCCACACTCATGAACAAAATATTACTAGACAACAAATTTTCCAGGATTTCAACTATTACTCAAGTCTAGAAAAAAGAACATTTCGCTTTATTTGAAATGTCATCAAGAACGGCTTGTCGTTTTATAAGATTCCACTACGAACTGGTATTGGAGCTCCCAGTGCGTGCGGACTTGTGCCACAGCCCTCCTGGCCACCGGGACTCCGCGTACGAGGTCGGGGCACCTGGCCTGCTCACTGCCTCCTGGTGCATCTCACCTAACTATTCACACATGGAAATTTGTGTTATTTTATTATACGCTGCCCCCCTTTTATTTCTCCTGACACTACAATTAAGACGCTACACTCATTTTTTTCATTATAAATTATGTCTTGTTTACAATTTGGGATAAGAAGGTATCACAGAAAACTTGCCCTCAAAGCCGGCGCTGGCTCCAACAGGGTAGAGCCCCAGTGCCTACAGAGAACAGGCTCAGCCAGCCTCTGCTGGAGGGCACGCACACGGGCGCTGGTGGGACACCTACAGACACAGGCCCAAGGCCTGTCTCCGAGCAACACCGCGGTCTAGCCCACCTTCCCTCAAGGACAGAGGCCGGCGTGGGGCCACCCAGCGTTCCAAATACACCAGAGCACTATCCATTGTGCCCACATGGCAGGTGTCACCCACAGCTGTGCCAGAGAAACGGGACAGGTGGCCACCTTGAAAGTGCAGCGTGCTCATGAGCACTCCCAAACCAAGCCAGGAACCCCCGTTCAACCTCACACACCCCTTATCTCTGCTCCCGGTCCCAGGGCACGTGGGCAGGGCAGAACCCAGCAGACTCGGGGCAGCAAGGCCATAACACAACACGAGAGTTTTCAGCAAAAACACTCCATGTTCTCATCAACCACAGGGACACATTCTGTTGCCACCAAAAGTGCGACTTCTTTGGAGCCCCCGTGGGAAAAGGCAAGAGCCAAGGTTGATGGAAACTGACACCCAGAGCCCAAGTTTCAGGTCATGCCAGGAATTCTGGCATCTAACAGAGCACCCTGGATGGACAGCTATGCAAAGAGGCCACAGAAGGAGGGGGGAGGGGGGCTCTTTCCAATCTAGGTTATTTCTTTACCAGGTTTCAATTCACACGGTACAGAAACTACCGCAGGCATCACTAGCTCAGACCCTGCATGTTTTTAGAGGGCACGGTAACTGCTGGTAGGATGGAAAGGGCAGAATGCTCCAGAAACATTTAAGAGCACCAACATCTGAGAACCAGCCACACAGGACAGAGGGCAGGGAAGAGGACCTGGTGGGCTGGCTGCAAAGGACACGCGACCGTCTGGGTCGTGTTGAGGAGCCGTGAGCCCACTCCAAGGTGCTCCGGCCCCACGGCACGCACATGCTTTCTTCTCGCTGCACCCGGAGCCACGGCAGAGATGCCTGCGTGTGCACAACTGCCGCTACCGGGCCTGGCTGGCCGGCGAGGGGGACGCGGCGCTCTGCTCTTACCATCGCACTTTGTTGCACGTCTGGGTCGCGCCGAGTGGGGAGCCGGCCACCATGGGGACTTGGATGGGGCTGTGCTGCTTGTTCGTGACCAGGTCCAGCTTCTCCTCTAACGACTTACAAGTGGCCTCCAGAGCCTGCAGCTTGGCCTCGATGCTATCCAATCGCAAGCAGATTGTCTGGTTAATGGAGTACAGGAAGGACTGCAAGCAGAAAGGAGAAGACTCTCAGGACGGACGCGGGGCGTGAGCGGCCGGGCCCCCGGAAGCCACCCCCAGTCGTCCCGAACCAGGAGAACCACCCCGCATCGCGGCGCCTCCGTGGACCAGGCCCGAGCACGTGCACGGGCCCCCCTGCCCTACGGTCCCGGTTCCGCGACGGCGCGCACGCCGAGCGGACGGCCTGCCGGCGACAGCCAGGTGCTTCCGAACTGCAAGCCTGCCACCTGGTGGCCGGCACGCGGCCCGTGCGGCCAGGGCTGCAGGCTCAGGTCCCACTGGCCACTGGGGACACGGAGGCCCCTCCGCTCCGCTCCCTGCCACTGGCGCTCCTGGGATGGGCTGGGCCGGCTGCGGGGCCGCTCGGTGTAGACCAGCCCGCCGCGCCAGGGCCCCCAGGGAGGTGGGGGCGGGGCTCGCCTGCAGCCAGTGAACGGCCTGCCGCAGGTCAGGGGGCTTGCGGGGCCACCGCCGGACACAACAGCGCCGCTGCCGCCCTTCACTCGGGAGGCAACGCGACGCCCGCGAAAGGCGGGCACGGGACCAGGGGACGGACACCCGGGACCAGGGCGGGTGCGCAGCTGCCGGGACTGGGGATGGGGACAGGACGCCGGAGGGGGCGAGGGGCTGAGGGGACAGGAGACCGGGGCAGGCTCGGGTCTACAGGGACCAGGGGACGGGAGACCTGGGTGGGCGCAGGGCTGAAGGGACAGGAAACTGGAGCGGGCGCAGGGCTGAGGGGACAGGCGACCCGGGCGGCAGCGGGGCTGAGGGGACCGGGGGACTGAGAACGGGGACGACGCGGGCTCTCCGGGGGAGGGCAGACATCCTCGGTCCGTGCTCAACGGAGGGCGTCTTCTCGAGAGCCTACGCGCTTCTGCAACCGCCCACGCGTGGGGGACACACAGTCCACACGCGTCCACACAGCCGGCTCTCCGTGCAGCGGTCAGCGTGCAACTCGACTCCTCGCCAGAGAGCGGGCAGGGGCAGGGAAGGCCGGCCTGCACCCCCTCCGAGGACACGCCTGCGGGGACTGGGTGTGAGGCCGGTGCGGGGGAGGGGCGCCACGTGAGAAGAGCACGTGGTGGCAGCACGCGACAGGCGGCAAGCAGCACGTGACGGCAGCGCGTGAGGACGCACGTGATCACAGGGCGCGACTAGCACCTGACGACCGCACTGCGCAGCCGCAGCCCCTGGGCGGGAAGGCGTGGCCTCAGCGGAGCCCCGCGTGCAGGCTGCGAGCGCGGACAGGACGCGCGGGACGGAGGGGCCCGCACTCCCCTGGACACGTGCGCCCGCAGGCGGCGGGGGAGGCGACCGGGACGCACCGCACTCTCACCTTGATAGAGGGATCCTGGCAGTTGATTTCCAGGCGCTGGCGCTTCAAGGCCGGCTCATCGTCGTCGGTCACCACGTGGTTCTCCAGGACCACTGAAAACCAACGGCGGGGACAGGACACACACGTGAACGGGACGGCCGGGCAGGGCCGTGTCCGCTAAGCGGTAAGCAGTTGGGCCGGGCCGCCTTACCGGTGATGGAGAAACCACCACCTCTTTCTCATTTTACATTTTTCGTGTCAACTTAAAATCCTCAAGCAGAAAGCAGGAACTCTACTTAATCTCAAAAAAAGTGCGACACCAGATAACCGAGTTCCCCGATGGGCCACCAACTTGATCCTAACACTGAAACGACAGCCTTCCCCTTTAGTGCTCCGTGGAGCCACCCTGTTGGAACGTTGGCAGGAGAAAACCCAAATAACACGCATTTCTCTCCAACGTCCACATCTGTCTGTTGGCCACCGCACTGCAAACTCAAGCCCCCTCTAACACCGCGTTTCAACGTGTCGGCTCGTCAAGGCCGTCCCTGCACTGGCCGCTGCTCCCGGCGCCCCGCACTCGGGCGGCCCCAGCGCTCTGCTTTCCCGACGCCCCGCATCCGCCACGGAAGCAACAGTACAGATAAACACAAAAATCAGACACAAAAACCGCCCCAATCACATCCATCTGTGCACACACACTTCTCTCTACTCTTGAGCCTCGGACCCAGACCTAGTCAATCTGTAAGCTGTCCACACTTGCAGACGACGATAGAATTTTAGATTCAACACTTGTTTTCCACCTGATACCATGAGGGCTTTTCCATTTTGCACAGTAGTTTTTCCTTCTCATCTCGCCAAAGTCACCGACGTTCACTGCCTAGTGTATGTCCCCTCCCTAGTGCTGCGTGGTCACACGTGGACACAAACAGTACACAGAGTGGGGGTGACAAGGGCTTACCAACAGATCAGTCTGCCTCTTTTCCTCTCCACTCAGCAATGTCATGTGGACAGCCCTCCTGGTTAGTGGCTTCAATTACTTTTTAAGGCCAAGATCAGAAATGTTACCAGTACGTGAGGATATATAGACACGTGCGTAGAACACTGTCCGTACACATGCACACACAAAGGTATGTTTCCCACGGCACTTGTGGCACTAAACCATAGCATGCACACTTTGGGGTATCATCTGTCCACCTTTCAAGTGCATCCCACGCTCCAGGTGAGCAGGACGGACTCGCTGGGATGGGCACGGGCATCATCGTCTGCCTCGCTCTGACATGCTATCTGACCACATCCCTGCTCCTCCCCTCAACCCTCCCAGAACCACCCGCTGCCCAGCCATCTCCACTCAGGGAAATCAATCCCCCTTCCCGGCAGCCCCATGCAGGTGCTGGAACTCACGCCAGCTCAAGCCGTGATAGCGGCCATGGCAGTGTCTACCCCCAGAGCAGATTACCTCCCCACCCTTTCTGCACGAATCTGTGCACAGATGTGGGCAGAGCACACCCTGCTGGCATGGGATTCCTCATCTGCTAAGGGGTGGCTGGGGTAAACCCGGGAGAGGCCGGGTGCTCTGCACCCACCTCAAAGCACTGCCCCTTTGACGGGGGTATCGACTAAGGTTCCAAATAAGATCTTGATTTATTTTTAAAGTGTCGATGCCTTTAAGCCCGTACATACTAGATGACTTCTCTCAAAACTCCAACACTTAGAGATACCAAATAGGCCTGTGGCTCCGACACAAACCTTTCACATGTCCAAGGCAAGAGCTCTAAATTGATTTCCTAGAGATAAATTATCCAAAGCTGCACCTTGCAGACCCTTATAGCCAAGGGTCAACAGTCCCCAAAAGCATCCTGCTCATCAAAGGGCTTTGCACCGTGCACTGTGGCTCCCGTGCAGGAGGGACTGCCTCGGCCACATCCACAGTAATGTGTGACAATGAATTCTCATTCAGTTAAGTAAAAATAGGAGAAATCCATGCGTACAAGTGTTTGTGGTTAACAAAACACAGGTTCCCAAAAACCTAGTCTATTTAACTGCCACTAGAAACGTGACTTACACCAGGACTGAAAGACAGAGAGATCCTGGCAACCATTATCCTAATCCTTTTCATTCGCTGAATAGTAAGCAAGTCCAGTGAGGTTAAGTGACTTGTCCAGGGCCACACAGCTAGTTCCTGTAACTACAGAAGAGTCCATGCACCACAGCAGCGTGAAGTACCTCAAGGCTTTAGGCAAAGGAGCAGACGTGTAAAAGGCAGTGTACCCAAGGCAGATGACCGAGCACAGCAAGGCCCACAGCGATGGCTGTGGTGCTGCAAGTTTACTTTCCTTTGTCCTATGCTACATATGCACACCTTGCTTACACTGCTTTTTAGAATTCTGCACACATTATGTTTAGAATTAGATAAAAGAACTCAGTGTCCATTTCCGGGGTACCTGGGGGGCTCAGTCGGTTGAGCATCCAACTTCAGCTCAGGTCATGATCTCACAGTTTGCGAGTTTGAGCCCGGCGTCAGGCTCTGTGCTGACAGGTCAGAGCCTGGAACCTGCTTCAGATTCTGTCTCCTCCTCTCTCTGCCCCTCCCCTGCTCGTGCTCTGTCTCTATCTCTCAATGATAAATGAACGTTAAAAAAAATAAAAAAACTCAAATGTTCATTTTAGAGCCATGACTATCAATTAGAAGGGCAAGTCTACAGGCTGCAATCTAGGTCCGTGCCAGACACGTAGCGAGTGCAGCCATGGCGGGGGAGGGAGCATGGAAAGGCAGAGGAACCTAAACATCTTTGTTTTCAGTGGAAATCAGACAAAAGTAGAAGGCCACACACGCCCTGAGCAGTTTCTGCTGCTAGGATTTCTTTCTTCTATGTGCTTAACTACTTGTAAATTTCGCAAAGTTCTTATTTTAGGGACGAGGGGGAAAAGTCATCTCAAGTTTTAAGCCCACTCTGGAGGCGAATACGTGTATGCAGCACGGCATTTGCTGGGTGTGTGCAAGTCCTTTTGGACCAGCGACTGGAAATTTGTGTGTACGAAGGCCTCGGCGAGTCGTGCGCGCAGTGGCCTCAGGAAACTGCCCTGCAGTCCCAATTATTTAAGACACCCAGACGGGATCAAACCAAGCTTAGAAAAGGTTTCTCTAAGAGTTCTCTGAACTATAATCTCCAGAGAAACTATTTCAGAAGGAAACTCTCCGAACTGGAACAGTTCTAAAAAGGTTTAAAATTTATGTAATAGGAACATTTTTCTTTTGTACCACTGCAGTGTGTGTTTTCTAAAGAAGCTGTCATTCCCCTGCCAAAATAGGAAGTTATTTTTAAAACCGTTAGACGGTGATAGTGCTTCTGGTTTTCTTCGTTCAGTGGCATCTAAGGTGTGGTGCTAATGAGGCCAAGGTGCAAGCTCTCGCTGTAAACAAACAGGTTCACTTTCACAGACAAAGCTGTGGTCACACAGCTGCACTGGTGGGCAGTGAGTGACTTTGTTGAGTGACCTGCCAGGCTCTAGATCTCGCCAGCCAAAGGGGGACAGCGGTTCTTATAAACAAAGGAGAAGCAAAATAAGAGGAAAAGCGCAGCATCCCTGAAAAGAGTACCTCTGTCTTCTTGTGACTGCTCACGTAATTCTAAAACCATCTCTAATACTCTCCCTTCCAGAGCACGACTGAGTTCCAAATGAAGTTTTGCCAACTAACGTATCAAACAGATCACAAAAGACAGATGTCCACCTACTTCTTAGGAGATTTCTGAAAATTCTCTTCTCTGTGGGGGAAAAAAAGTCAGCATTTCAATTCTATTATTCCAAAAAGAATAACCAGGCAACTAAAACACTCAGTGACTTTACTGTGTGCATTTCTCCTTTCAAATTTAAATAAAAATGGGGGGAGGGCAGGAATTTACTAAGAAACCTTCTAAAACAAATGTGCAGACAAAGCTTTTTCACAGATGAAATTCCTAAAACGTAGGGTTTCTTTTATAAACAGTCTTCTCAACACAAATATTTAAAGTTTCAAAGATGATGTGTGCTTTTAACATCATTAAGAAAAATGACCAGCCTCAAACAAAAATATTTTTAAAAAGTTGTTCTTACACACAGTCAATGAAAGAACAACTTAATAACTTAATAACTTACTGGGAGGGGCGCCTGGGTGGCTCAGTCATGAAGCATCCGACTGGCTCAGGCCATGATCTCATGGTTTGCTTACGAGTTCAAGCCCTGGGTCAGGCTCTGTGCTGACAGCTCAGAACCTGGAGCCTGCTTCAGATCCTGTCTCCCTCTCGCTCTGCCCCTCCCCCACCTACCCCCCCAACTCTCTCAAAAATAAACATTTAAGAAAAAAAGAAACAGTGTTAGAAATGTGATTATGAATCATGCAAATAAACCCTTCGAGTGTTTAAAAAAAAAAAAGGTAAAAACATTTCCCAGAAATCTGTTAGTGTCCTATCAAAATTTTAAACATAGAACAGCAATTCCACTTCTGGGAACTTACCCGACAAAAATATCTGCCAAGATACACAGGCAAGACTCTTGACTACAGGGGTGCAGACAAAAGTAAAGCAGCTCAGCCAAGGTCAATGGCGTCTACAGGGAAGAGGCCCATCACTGAGGGACACGCGAAGCAGACCTGCACTCTCCAACAAAGCCTGGCTTCCAAGGCGCACGGCGGTCCAGAGGGAAGCTGTGGAGCCTCACGTGTCACAGGACCACTGTGGGCGGGGGAGGAAGCTGCTCCCCCCGCCCCCCATGGATGGACCTGGGGCCCATATTCCCACTCTCCATGATTAGCACACGCATCACCTTTTTCTCTTCCTTTACTTTTTAAAGGAAAGAAAACTTCTGGAAGTGCTTCTGGGTTTCTGAAGAACAGAGAGGGTAAGAATCCACCTACTGTCCCATAGCTCCATACCTGGGTGACCGGGACTTAGGTCTTCCACGGCAATCTGCACCACATCCGCCAGGTCCTGTTCTGACATCATCCAGAGTAAGAGGAGGGTGGCCGGTGAGTAGGCAGGAATCAAAGTCACGCAGGACTGCGTTTCTGCCACCTACAAAACTGAGACAGACAGGGACAGGGAGATCACATGGTGACCTGTGACATAAGGCAAACCACTGACCACGCAGGTCCCAGAGCATGTCCGGCGCCGTGCTGTGGGATACAGGACTCTCCTGGCTTCAAACCACCAAAAGGTAGGGTTCTTTGAGAAGTGAGCCGCAGTTCAGAAACGCTGCTGGTCCTCACCGCCAGCCCCACCCGTCCTCACCGCCAGACTAGCCCTACCCGGCAGCCTCCTACTTCCTCAGTCCACTCCACGCACCAGCTCCAAACTCGGCTTCCGGTGATGGCCTGGCCACTGACAGTGCCGTCCACCAGCCTGGAAGCTCAGCGGCCCCCACCCACCCGGCCCATCCTGCCACACACACCTCACTGCCCAGTGTCCCGCTGCCCCGTCTCCCGGCTTTCCCTGAACGGGCCCTTCCACCCGGGGCCGCTGTTCCCACTCATTCCTGCTACTCAAAACACCATCCCATAAGTGCCTGTGCTTTGCTTTCCTTTGGCTTCCAGAGCAGACCCAAACCACAGCATCACCCGGCTACCGTGGCCTGGGAGCACCGCCATGCTGGCCTGGGAGCACCATCGCCGTGTCCCTAATGTGCCCTCGGGGGCAGGTGTTTGAGCTGTCATCCCTGAGCCAAAAACCACGTCTGGAACAGTGTCAGTCACTTTCTTCTTGCTCCTGAGGTACTCCGATTAGGCCAAGAGAGACCTTATCTCCCAAAACAAAAATGAGGCCATGTCATGTCAGATACGGTGTATCAACCCGCGGATCTAAACATACAGCATAAAAACGGGACATCCTGGAGAACTCAGGAATCAACGTCACCGTAATATTGTATCTTCCACATTTTGTTTTAATTATTTGTGGTAAATGTTTATAAAATAAATCAAAGTAAATCATGTATTGATCTTTCCCCAGCCAGACTACACTCTCAATTCTACAGCTCTGTTCTTTGCAGCACTAAGTGCTCATAGCCCCCAGTCACTGCTCCTGTGGGAGGAGGCAAATTAAAATTTGGGGGCGCCTGGGTGGCTTGGTTAAGCATCCAACTTTAGCTCAGGTCATAATCTCACAGTTTGTGGGTTCGGGCCCCGCATCGGATTCTGTGCTGACAGGTCAGAGCCTGGAGCTGCTTCAGATTCTGGGTCTCCCTCTCTCTCTGCCCCTCCCCTGCTCATGCTCTGTCTCTCTCTGTCTCAAAAATAACGTTTAAAATTTTTTTAAAAATCACATTTAATCAACAAATAATTATATGGGGAGGATCAAGAGAGTCCCTACAAATTAAACAACAATGAAGAACTACCATTTCCTATATTTGCTGTGTATTTAATAAAGATTTTTCAAAAATTTTTTAATGTTTATTTTTGAGATAGAGAGAGAGAGAAAGAAAACACAGGTCGAGGAGGGGCAGAGAGAGGGAGACACAGAATCCGAAGCAGGTTCCAGGCTCTGGGCTGTCAGCACAGAGCCCAACAGGAGGCTTGAACTCGTGAACTGCAAGATCATGACCTGAGCTGCAGTTGGACGCTTAGCCAACTGAGCCACCCAGGCGCCCCTATTTAAGGATTTGCCTTTTTTAGAGGCAAAACTCAAACTTGACAACAGTATTTGCTACACACACACCCCCCCCAGAGAGCTAATTTCCTTCTTTCACAGCAAGAGAAATAGGACCAGTACACCGAACAGAAAATGAGCACAGAAAACGGAGGTGAATTCACAGAAAAAAGAAATCAGAAGGCTTTTAAACATGAGAAGAATTCAACGCTTTATGTGATTTTTAAACTGCGAATGTAGATGAGACTCTGTGTCGCCGCCACAGGACTACTGTGAGTGTCGCAGGGCCACTGGAAGGGGCAGGCGCTGCGCTCTCTGGCGTTCCCAGGGGGCGCAGACCGCACTCGCCCTTCCACAGCGGGGAATGCGACTGGCCATGGCCCTGACCCTGCCACACGCTCAGGAAGCCTTCCAGGACCAAACTCTCATTTATGTGCAAACATCTATGTACCCAAAACCCAAAACAACACAACCGAGGCATGGCTCTAGAGGCAAAAGGGTGGCCGTAGCCTACGTGTGCGCCAACAGGGAGCTGCGGAAACGGCCCATGGGGCCACACGACGGGACCCCAAGTGGCTGTGTGAAAGGGCGAGGCAGAGCTCCCCCAGAAACCACGCCCAAGAAGCAGAATTACATGAATAGAAACGAGGCAGAAAGCATAAAACATGCTTTTTTTTTTTTAAAGAAATATGCTGAATATGCACAGATTATTCCTGGGATATAAGAGGGAAAGGAGATTATTTTTCCCTTTTCACACTCATAATACTTGCACTTTTATCCTGTGCATGTGCCACCTTTTCAGAAATAAAAGGCACTTTTTAAAAATGGTCAACTAAACACATGGGTGTAAACTGCCGGGGAAATTCTCAATCCCAGCCTCCATCCCAAAGCGGGCTGCTTGGAGGAGGCGCCATGGCGGAGCTGGTGCACCCAGGAGGGCCCGGCAGGCCTGACGCGGGGGAGAGAACAGGTGTCTGCTAACTCCGTGTCCTCCGAAGATGAGCTCTAATTACAGATTAACTGGAGGCCAGTCTGAGGATCAGGGCTACTCAGGCCATAAACTTGGTCTTCTTCTATCCAAACGAAGAGCCCAAGCAAAGATTATCAAAGGGTACAGTGAGCTGTGTCCTGAAGGCAGTGACCCTCAGTGACAAAACACCACCCAACCAACCTCTGAACTGGGGGATTTAAAATGTTTTGGGGTCACAGATTGCTTTCAAAATGTAAGAAACAAAAAACTGTAGACCCTTTCCCGGGAAAACAGCAGAGAGCTAAAATTCTGCCAAGGTTCAGAGCTTCACAAATACCAGCAAGAGCTGCCTATCTCAGCCCGTTCTCCTGGTGCTCAGTGGAGGGGCCCGACCTTAGTGGGCCGCGTGGCTGCCAGGTGGCCCCCACCGGCCACTCCTGCAGCACTCTAGCCAAGTGACCGGGCCTAGCCGATGGGACGTAAGTGCAGACACAGGACGGCCGGCAGGACACCTCAATAAAGGACACCTGGCACGTAGCCAGGGCCGTGCTACTGGCCCCGCTGCTGCCGGACCCCAGAGATGAGGGCGGGACAGGAGGAACTGGAACAGCGGAGCAAAGAACGAGACGGAAGCTGCCACACGTCCCTGGACTGCCGGACTCAGGTTTCCTCCTCAGATAGGAACAGAACCAGCCACCTGCTCGGAAACGGCGTATTCTGGGGTCTGCAATGTGCCGGCCAGGCTTGACCTAAGTGTTGCGCCCTGTGGCCGTTGGCGACGCCCTGGGCGCACAGGCTCCAAGTTAAATTAGCTGTCTCTCATAAAGGCTGATGGAGAGGTTTCAGATGCCCAGATCAAGCTATTTCCCCATCGCTAGCAGTTCTGCGAGCAGCTGAGGAAAACACTCCGAGCGCTCCGTAAAATCCTGCATCCTAACCTCTTCCAAATGAGGACACCACACGTTATCCAAGTTGTTTACTCAAAATGGTTCTGTTGCCAGGATGGAGTCACTTAAAATTCTGCTAACAGGGAAGGTTTGAATAGAAAAAACTAGGGCAAGAAGCCCAAGAAAACTGGAACAGAGCGATACATGCGGTTGCCATTTTGGCAAATTAAATTCACCATTTCTCAGAAGTCCTGGAGACAGTCCAGTCTTAATATAATAAAGCAGCTGGACTGAGATTAACGTGCCATAATGTCTCTGACGGCAATGACCGGTGAGAACCTTAGCAAGCCTGTGAAGGAGCATCCTCCCCGGTGCACGAGAAAGGAAAACCTGCCAACTACAGTCAACAACCGAAGCGCCCGAACGTAGGGGAACAGTGAAGTAAATGACGGCGGACCGTCCCGTAAAACACTGCACTCGTTAATGTGAACGACACTGCTTTGATCATAGGAACCAAAATGGAAGGATCCCCAGAACCACAACAGCAACAGAAAGGAACATAAAAGGAAAATCGCCCGACGGTAGGCGTATGATCCCGATTCGGCTTTCTAACAGCCACGTGTAAGTGTGGTCACACGTCGTGTGTGTCAGTGTCCCGTCCCCCCCCCCCCCGCGGTCTGGAGTGATCACAGTGGACTTACTGGTACCTAAGAGGGAGGGAGGGTGTAGGTAACACAGGCTCCCTTCCTCCTCTGTCCATCCCGAGTGCTGAGTTTTCCGCAGGCATGTTAGGGTTATCACCGTGAGACGGTTTCTCTAAAACCAAACAGCGTGTGGACAAGGCCAAGTGCATCCCACCCGCCTGACACGAGTGGGGCGTCCCAGCCCCGCCTGGAGCCGCCTCAGCCTGCTGGGAGGCGGCCTCCATCCCGGACCGTCCTCGCCCTCCTTTCTCCCCTCCCTTCCAAGTCCCAGCCCCTCCTCCCTGGGCTCGGAGGGCCACCTCGCCACCTCCCCCAGGGGCTCCCTGTGGCCCCGTGGGCACCCACACACGCGCCGTGCCGTCCTCGCAGCCCCTCACCCGCAGCCCTGGGGTCATTCCCAGAGCCGCTCCCCCACCTCCCCTCCATCTCCAGGGCTCCGCTCCGCTTCAGAGCGAAACTCGCCAAGCGCTGCCTGGACCCATGCGCCCGCCCGCAGCACCTGCACGGGCCTCTCCCGCCGCCTCCCGGCCTTCCCTTCCCTTCCCTCTGCGGAGGTCGGCGTCACCTCCCGCACGTGAGGGAGAGCCCACCTCTTCTCAGTCCTTCCAGAACACCGTCTGCACGCCGACGGCGCAGGGCCACCCTCCAGCTCAGGCCTCTTGGGTGAACTGCAGACCCACGCAGCAAACGGCCTGCTGGCACATCCCTGGTGCCCGGTCTCGATGTCGACGTGCCCCCAACCACACTAGACACCCACCCCACAACCGCCCTGCTCCTCCCACACCTGCCCTGACAAACCCTCCAGTCCTCGGGGCTTGTCCCTCTTAGAGCCACCCTGTGGGCAAGTATCTCGCGTCTGCACTCTGGCCTCGTCAC